TTATTTTACATTAAAAACAATGTAATCACAATATAAAACCGGTCATACTGCCGAGAAAATTTGCGACCAGAATATTATGTACAAACGCAGATTATTTTTGGTAACATGTATATATTTTTAAAATTTTGGGTGAGAATTGTAAGAACAAATATTTTAAAATATTTAAAATTTGTACTTTTATACAATCTTCCATGATTTACATTTTTTTTTTTCATTGGTCGATCTAAATTTAATAAATATTATAAGTACCATTATAGTACATTATCAGCGATAGAATAACAGACGTACCTACTTGGAATGYCCTAAAATGATTAGCGATATTATTGTGGATGCAMTTGGGMTATTAAAAAGGTAACGATAAACATAAAAGGAGRCATACAAGCRATGCTCTAAATATTTACCAAGGTGATGTTTACGGACCGCAGATTTACTTATTGAAGTCTAAATATTTGAAATACTATAAATTTTAAATATAGATAATTATATAAAATCCATGTATTCCACGTACATGCATCTCATTTGTAAAGAACTAAATTAATGTTATAATTTCATGTTTTCGAGAATTCAAGAATTTATTGTCTATTGTTAAAGTGGCGAAAACTTCAAAAACATYTGACTTCTGGTGTAAAGTTAACAGCTTTCATTCAAAAATTAGTATAAAATAAATGGAGGTCCATTGGTAGAAAATGTAAAATTAAGTCGATTGTTCTTACATAAATCATTTACTACTATAGTACCTACTTTCAGCTTACCAAAGCATTTTCCTATTTTGCAGTTATGGTAATGATTTAAATTATGTGGATTCTCCTAACAGCTATATCTAATAACTTTTTTTATTATTATTATTAATTAAAGCATTCCTAGCTAGAATAGCTATCTAAGCCTACTATCTAAGTCTAATAACTAAAATGCATACAAATACAATCATTGGGCATTGATACAATAAATTATTATACAAACTAAAATTATAAATACGATAACATATGGAACAATATGAGAATAAAATAAAATAATAATAATAA